TCCTGCTCCTTCTCTTCAGCCTGCCCGTGGCAGCATCTGCCAGGTGTAGCCATCCTCTCCTCCACCATGAGAAGGATTGATGAGGCCAGGCCAACGGTTCAGTTCTGTTTGCCCCATTTTTATATCTTTTTGGATTTTTCTGCAAGCCTTGAGGTTCCCCAAGTTTGCAGAAAGTTCTCCCTTTCTCTCTTCATAGCCCCAATACACAAACTTAAGTATCCGCAGATAAGGCCATATAAAGAATTTGATATATTCGTAGAAATCTGCACAGGAAGTGCTTTTGTTGGCAACAGCAAGGGTGCTAGCACAGGTTATGCATAAACCTGTGTTATCTGAGCTGAACAGTAAAACACACAAGAGTCTTCTGGAGCTCTGTTTCCGGTCCTGAGTCCTAATCCACTCAGGGAAACATGTTACCTCCAACTTCCATCAATGGCCTGTTTCCATCCCTGCTTATTTTTCCACCGAGATATATCCTTTATGTCACAGTAACAAATTGTCATGGAGAACTGTTTTGTGTCATGAAACCTCAAACTCTTGTGCATGCATCCAGGGGGTTTTCCAGCCAAAAGCAGAGATCAGATGACTAAACTGCACTAAATTTTGGTACAGTGGGTTTTTTAAGAATTAAAGCTAAACCACAGTGTACAGGTATGTTGCAACTATGCCACCACAGTTAACATTTTACTATGCAAAAAAGCTCCTTTAATCAACAAGATGAAAACAAAAAAAATGCAAAATGTCTTGGGCTTTCTCTTCTAGCAGCCATTGTGTATACTATTTTGCACATGATTAAAGCTTGTTACTTGGTCCATCAAGTCCAAATGAAGTGCATAATGTGAACGTAACTGGGGTATGGGAGGCAAACTTTCATTTGACCCCAGTATTTGCTTCAGCTGCTATTTTTGTTTTGACTTCAACTAGTTCTTCTACTCTGGCCAGAACACTCTCCATTAAGTCAAATGTGAAGAGAGCCGATTGAAGAACCTGAAATTTGATGGAAAGTTAACGTTATTTTTCAGTTTATACAGAAACTTTTACTAGCTTCTCACTCCCCAACATACTTCTAAATGAACACAAGTCTTTAAGAGAAACTTCACGTCTCTTTCTGTACCTGATGAGTCTCACTGCAACCCCATCACCCACCTGAAGTTCCATTTCACTTGTCATCGTAGGCATCTTTCCCCCAGCTACTGTGACAGAGCAAACTGTCTTAGAAGTGTGGGATTCTATAAACAGGAAAGAATCAAATCATCAGTATAGCATGCTATTTTCGTCACCAGCTCCTTGCGTGGTCTGACTCAGTATAGGTCATGATCCTACCAAAATAGAGTGGCAAGGTGCTTTGAGAGTCACTGGCTCCTTAAAGTGCACTTCATTCCAAGCACACCTGTTAACAATCCAAACATCCTTTCCCACTTTCATTTATTCATTTTTTAAAAAGTGAAAATGAAGTCAACTAACCTCTTCTGTTCTCTTTTTTATTCTTTATTTCTGCTTCATAATGTGCCCTTGACATATTAAGTCCAGTGTGTAAGGGCTTCAAGAAATTTTGCTCAATCTTTGTAAGTTCTGTCCATATGCAGGTCTAGTCAAATCAAAAGAGTAAAGTTTATTTTGACGCACAACACCAAGATCCCAGTGCTTAGTGAAAATGTCCAACTATATCACAGAAACAGAAGAATTTAATATTGACTTGCACTGTAATCTGCTGAATCTCTATAACCTCCCCAGCCCTCTTACCAAAGCATTTCTCGTTCCCCTAAACTAGACTTCCACTTATTTTCACTGTGCCTTTCAGAACATTTTATTTAAAAAGGCAACTTGTGTGACCCATTGAAAAGTACATCCTTCCAACAACAAATTGATGTAGCAGGTACTTGACAACCACTGTGTTTCTCGCAGGCCAAAACTGGAGCTTTACTGAACCTCAGTTTTGGCAGGTGGGCTGTGCTTTGGTTGGTGGGTCACAAACTGCAGGCCAGTTACAGCTTGCTTTTTTCGGTGGCTACAGTCAAAGTAAGGTTAAAATCATTTTTATTCCCTTATCTCCTAACTGTCCCCAAAATAACTGCTCTGAGACCCTATGTGATTTCTTACTCCTCCAGCAAATTCAGAAAGTTTTACCGAAGCATATCTTTGCTTGCAGGAATTCTGTCTCCCATGAAAACCTCTGTTGTATGCAGACTTAAGTCACTCTCCAAAGCTGTATCAATGCTAGGAGCAGAAAGCTAGGATATGAGCTGCAATTTCTGTGTGCATGTTCGTTTTTAAATAAAATGGAGGTGTTCATGACTTTTATACTTTTGTTTTATTTAAACTGCATGCTTTTTCTATTTATTTTAATCACATTTATTAGTTGTGTATTCCTCCTTGGGTCCATTCGGGGAGAAAAGTGGGGAATAAATATAGGAAGCAAGCCAAGAAGAGGCTCAGTAGCTGTTTGCAGGATTAGCAGGAGCTCAGAGAGGATGACTACACTGCAAAAACATACCAGAGGCCAAAGAGGCTCCATTTTATTTGCTTTGGTTTAACACGGCATTCCCCAATTAAGTAGTCAGGTGCTTCCTCACTGACAGAGAACCCAATGGTGCTTTTGGAAATACCGGCCTTCCTAGTACTGAAGTACAGTCACAACACTAAAAAGATACCAAGTTACAGTGGTGCCTCAATATGCAATAAACCTCAGCTCAGCTATGCATGCACAGAAAATACTGTTCAGCTGCTAGGATATAAAAATTGGATGTCAAGCCGGTTGCAAAATTTATATATAAACTGCTCCCTTGACTATCTTACAACATTTGTCCACCACAATGCAACAGCTGGATGAGAATATGAGCATGCAAAAAAAAGAACAAAAGAAACCCCCACCGTGATCGATCATAATATGTTTCATGGAAAAACTGCCACTTTACTGAGTTTGGAGCTGAAGCACGAGTGTGTTGCAGTAGGCGTGATATAGAAGACAGACAGAGAAAATTAGGAGTGAGGAATTGGCTTGCTTCTGCAGCTGTGTCTTTTGTAATCTTTATGCCACTGCAAAGCTCAAGTGCTGAGTAAAAATAGCACTTGCTGAGTGGAAAGGGGCTGAGAAAAATCACTAAATATCCAAACGTTATTCTTTGCTGCTAAAGGGAAGTCTAGCTATAAGACTGCATCATTAGTAATCAGTAATAGCTAAAATATTTTTTTTAAAATCCCTTCTCGCCATGGAGTAGGTAAATCAATGTATTTTCTAATGACTCAACTTTACTTACAATGTTTCATATGCTAATCTAGATCTCTGTTGCTGGTATCGAGTAAAATTGTATTACATATTTTAATATTTTGTTCATATCCTGCCATCTGCACTAGCCATCCATTCCAAATATTGCAATTTTACCTCTCATTAAACACACAACATAAGTGTATGAACATCCGAATGCTTCCCAGCAACCTGCATTTCTTCCAACCTAGTTAGGCGTTACCTTACTGGAGTGTGGATAGAAGGGTTCCAGCCAAGCCAGAGGTACATGGGGAAGTTTCTGGTTTGGCACTTCAAAGCCACCCAGGCTTAAGTATAATGAAAATCTCCTGGTTTGCTGTACCGCTCTTGGTGTGCATCACAAACGCTGGAGCCAAAAGGACTTGCTTACTCATAACAGACCAGTTCAAAAACAAAACATTAATTTATACGTTCTCTTTAATCAGTCAGTTCTGAACTGGATGCAAAGGAGTCTGTCCGGTACAACTAACAGTATATCCTAACCAACTATTTCAGAGAGAACAGCAGAAGGGAACAATCCAAAGTTAGGTGCACTGAATTCCTATTTAAATCCCACTGATTTAAATGGGACATAAGTATACATGATCATATTTGGAATTAAACTGTTAAAATCAATGGGTTTTACTTGTGAATAAATATATTTAGGATCAGACTGCAAGGTTGTCTTGTGAAGTACAACTGAAAATCTGTGGCCACTTTAAGTAAATATTTATTGTTTTAAATAAGGAAATGCTTTAAACTGGATTAAGACTGGAGGATCACTGGGGGAGTACATAATTAGAATGTCAAATACGTAGCTCAGGGATCCTCAATGGGTGGTGCCCATGGTGCGTGCCATGGTGCCCGCCAACACTTTTCCTGGTGCCTTCCAAGTGTTTTTAGAAAGTGGGTAGAGCCAAGTAGGGTTTCGGCCAGCTGGGCTTCTGACTGACCACTGGAAATTTGATTTGCTGTGCAGATTTTTTTAAATGTTGCTTTGGCAGCAGCTGCTACAACAGCACAAGGATATTCACTGTGTGACTGAGGGTAAGCTACGGCAGCCATTTTGTGGCTGGTTCTACCTCCTGCAAAAGCCGTTTTGTGGCAGTCATCTTGTGGCTGTGCCCACCACCCTGTGCCAGAATTCCAAAGGGGCCTGCAGGCTCGGAGAGACAGGGGATCCCTGGTGCAGCTACATCAAGCAATGGATCTGAAAACTAGAATAAGCTGCAAGGCCTACAAATAAACACATCAAAGTATAACATGGCAGTATTAAAGAAGACACAGAAACAGAGATTAAGCTATGATTACCGCTAAAGCAGCCCGAATGATCTACCAGATCAGAATGAAATCTTCAAAAGTGGGCTGCATTCACAACGCTGAAGGCTATTTGGCCTCCAGCAGAATAGAATTTAGCTCAAGATGACAGAGCAGTAAATCATATTCACTAGTAATTATAAAACTGTGATCTGGTTCCTTCTCTTTTCATGCTCACTGATTTCAAGTGCTTTGCTTGCAAAGCTAAACCTTTAGCCCACTCATCGTCTTGACACAACAAGAAGCTGAGATTTCACATCTTATATAACACAAGATATGTTAAGAGCTGCAGCACAGATTCTCAGAAGAGAAAATACCAGGGGGCACTTTCAAATAATTTTACTTGGGTGATGGGAAAACCTTTAGGATGATAATTAGTCTCTCCTGCAGTGGAACTGATATTTATCATGGACTGTTGAAAATGGGGGTTTTCTTTTTTGATAAGCTGAGAGAATCATCATGCTTGCTACTGCTTCAGCAGGGAGGGGGGAATTCAGCTCAAATACTCAGCAGCACTGTTGACATGCTTAGAGAACACAGCTGCAGAAGGGTTAGGAATCAAGGATCTTCATCTTCCTTCAGGAACAAAAATAAATGATTCAAGGCAAGGTTGTCAAAACACTCATGAATAAAGCTTGACACTACTATAATTTCCCCCCTGCATGCTGGAGGAATACAGATGCTTCAAGCTGTGTGATAAAGTGGCTTCCTTAAAAGGGGAGAAGGAGCTTTAAAGATCTAAAGGGTTTGTACTGAGACATATTGTATAGATCTTTTCGAAAGTCTGGATAGTGTTTAAGCCTAATGATCTATCGGGACAACTACATGTGGATAGTTACGTACTGAAAAATTACTCTGAATTACAGGTTCTAATCTGGATTTCTATTGCATGTAGATGAAAAAGTGAAAAGCACCATCGTAGTTAACAGTAATTAAGCAATACATTTGAATGGTACTATTCTTAACAAAGCTACAGGTTAACATATTTCATCGCTTTTATTCTCAAACACACACAGAGCTGTCAATTTTTTAAAAAATCCATTACCACTTACTTTATTGTCATTTTCATTATCCCTAATGATTAAATATCTCAGCAGATTTAGAGATGCCATAATCCTGTGAATAAGAAATGAAGAATTAATCACTTAAGGCTGGAACGGACATAACAGTTTTCTTGCATGGAAGAAAGCTGGTGGGTAACTTACGGTGTAACAAATGATGTTAGAATGCAAAACCCACACGTGTGAGAGAACAATAGATTTATAGAACATTTCCAGGTTGCTACAGCTAGTTATGTCCAAATAAGCCCTTAGAATGCCAGGAAGGCTGACAAGGTATATAATCTGCGAAGGTCCAAGAACTAATATTAAATGCAGCCAACTACTTTAGAGCCAGTTTGGTGTAGTGGTTAGGAGCGCAGATTCTAATCTGGGAGAAGTGGGTTTGATTCCCCCACTCCTCCACATGCAGCTGCTGATGTGACCTTGAGTCAGTTACAAGTTCTCTCAGAGCTGTTCTCTTACGAGCAGGTCTCAAAAGAGCTGTCTCAGTCCCACCTACCTCACAGAGTGCCTGTTGTGGGGAGAGGAAGGGAAAGGCGATTGTAAACCACTCTGAGACTCCTTTGGGTAGTGAAGGGTGGGGTATAAATCCAATCTCATCTCATCATCATCATCTTAAAAATAAAAACTGTAGAGGCTCATTCAGACTGAACCTAATGCAATTTGTCTTCAATTAAAAAGCCGTTTTTTTCAGTGTCCCTTACAAACGTAACTGGCCCTTCTCCCTGACTCTTCTGTGGCCATCATCCACCCGAACTACACACGCAGGATTCCCCAGAGGTTACCAAAGGCAAGCCCACCACCTCCTCATTAAACTAAGGCTTACCAATGCCTAAAATACTCATGGAGCATTACCCTTTGTTCCCAATCACCTTACTACCACTTCTTACCTTCCAGGAAGATCAGGAAGCCCCATGACTTCTACCGGTCATCAGGCAGTCCCAAAGATAAACCTCAGATTAGCTGAACAGAGTATTGTGCCTCAGGCAAAAACCAGATGAGGAAAACCAGATCCTGCAAAACTTGCCAAATGGAACCACCACTCTCCCATTCAAATCCAACTCATAACTCTCCATCAAACCCATGAAAATGCCTGCATCTCCCCCCCCCAAAAAAAGTTCTCTGTTCTTCTCCATGAGGAAATTTCTGGAAGGTTTCAATCACTGCAATGGCTCTTTGGAGTACAGAGGATGGTACGATTTTGATTCCTGTCCCCAACATACAAGCTGCATGCTTTGCTCTCTGACTCATACTAAAGGAAATAAAAGAAGTCACTTATTTCAAAATCTGTATTTAGAGTATGCATGGAATACATGAATATCAAGAGCAAAATTAGGTAAGAGGCCCATGAACAGATTCCTTGAACTGTAAATTTCTTTGGGTATTCTAATTGAATCTGATATACATCTGACTACTTGCAGAGGAGCTCTGATAAGCATGCCAGGCATTAGCAAACTTCATCTTAACTGCCTACTCTGGCTTAAAAGCCTCAATGAAGGTCACTTAATCAAGAAAGAATCCTCAGTGAAATATTTTGGCCATGATGCTCATCACACCTCACCTGTCTGAGTTCTGGAGAAGATCCGTTTCAGCTCCTTCAGGAAGTGATAACACAGCGTCTAGTAGTGAAACCAGCTGGAGTCCAGTAAAACATTTACTACTCTTTGTACTCTGAAAACAATGTATCATGCAGGAAAAAACTTAGGTAATATATTTTTTGTGCAGTCAGTAGCTGCATTAATATAATAACAAAGCTAGTTCAATAAATGAAGAAATTAATGACAATTAAAATGATTTTTACTGTGGCCAGCTAGTAAAGGTATCTTTTCTAATTGTGGGATTCTAATTGTAAACTGAGTCTCCCACAATTAGAAAATATACCTTTACACATTTATCTCCTATTTTAACATATTTATTGCTTTACTGTTTCCCCCTCTTAATTAAACCAAAACAACTGTTGACCTTATAACCTTAGCTTGTTATTTAGTTTTGCCTTTGCATACCTTAAAACATCTTCATCATGTTACATGTTCATTTGCTGTACAGTCTCTGTCTATAAGTCTGAACTCTTACCTGCCATTCCAATGTATCTTGAAGAAGTGTGCCTTGCACACGAAAGCTCATATCTTGAATAAATCTTTGTTGGTCTTAAAGGTGCCCCTGGACTCTGTTCTACTGCTTCAGACCAACATGGCTGACCACCTGGATTTAACTTGGATGGTCACATAACTTAATTTTTGAGGGTTTTTAAATTTCCTAAGTGCCAGTCTTAATTAGGGTTTAGAACAGGGAAGTACAGTGAGGAGGAGTATGTTTACAAATGCAGAAGACATGAACTGTGGGTTTAAAAGCATAAGAAACCGTTCTTCACTGATATTCTAATTTTCTTTCATATAATACAACAAAAATTGCCATTAAATATTTTTTCTGTGATATATTTTTGTCTATGTAGACTTTAGAACCAATTTATCTGGAAACCCTTTTTTAATAATGAAAGCTTTAGAATCTCACAGTATCATACAGCAGTTGGGTATTCTTGTACAGGTTAATCAGGAAGGTATGCCTTACTTAAAATATATACACACACTTCACGCATGGGGTATTTCAACAAACAGAAAGGTGGAGAGTGAGAGGGCCAATCTGAACAGGATCACCCAAAATAGTTGATCTTAAAAAGTGCTAGAAGCAATTATTTGTTCATCAACATGTTCCAAAGTGCTGTTTTTAGTGTGTTTCAACTACCAATATACCCCACATCAAAGGCAACAACTTAAGAAACACGTTTTAGCTATCCAACTTTATCCATTTCTGACTATCTCTTATGTCCTTTTCACTATGGATGGCATAGACATAATGAAGATCATAGAGCTCTGTCTCTTTGTAAAAGTAAAATGGCACATGTGCCACTCCAACCTGAATCAAGGCTATAGAGGGAGGGTACGGGGGGGGTTTAATCCTTCAGCTCCATCCTTCAATACACAGTGTTTCTTTTTCTTTTGAAATGCTACAAACAACAAAGGACAGGTGGTTTTGATTAACAAAACCAAACCGGAGTTGCAAGATCAGCCCCCCTCTTCCTTGTACAGACTGATCTTTGAAAAGATGTGCCAGAACTCTCAAGAGGGAAATGAAGTTTTCAATCTGTATACTGAAAACTCATGAACTTTTAAACATTTTAAAAGAATTCTGTCGAAGACGTTCTGGAACTCTGTTCCAGCAAGTGCCCCCAGGAAAAAAAGCCCTGGATCTAGGGCTTCCAGGTCCCATACCTTTGCCGGCCAGGGGATTTGGGGGGGGGGGCATTCTGGGCAGTGACATCATCACACCAGAAAGCTCTGGTATTTGGGTGAAACTATGGTTTTTCCAACCTCAAAACCATAGTTTGACCAAATACCAGAGTGTCTCCTGGCATCACTCTCAGGTGACATCATCACTTGGGGGGGTGTACTTCTGGTTTTACCAGAAGTGGACCCAAAGTCGTCATTTGGGGGCAGGACCCCCCTTCTGGACCGGGGAACTGGGATCCTAAACTGATCTGAATCATGCACAAGTTGCATTTTACATATGAATGGAGATCTGATTTTACAAATGAATGGAGATCTGTAATCTTTGGTGTCTTCCACTCAGGGACAGAATTCTGTGGCTTCCCCACTGCCAGTGTGCCTCAGATAAAGCAGAGCAGCAACGGGGTCTCCACACGCATGGACAGTTTCCCCATGGTTTGCCTGCCCTAATGCCCTGGAACTTGCCACCCTCTATCCCCAGCCACCAGTGGTTTTGCAATAAAAAAACAGCAGCACAAGAATGTTTTTACAGCAATACACTGCTGTAAGTATGGTTGCCGACTTCCAGGTGTTACCTAGAGATCTCCTGCTTTTATAACTGATGTCCAGATGACCAAAATTAATTCCTCTGGAGAAAATGGCTGCTTTGGAAGGTGGATGGTATGACATTATACCCTGCTGAGGTCCCTGCTCTCCCCAAATTCCACCCTCCCCAGGCTAAACCCCCAAAATCTCTAGGTATTGCCCAACCCAGGGCTGGCAACTCTAGTTGTAAAAATACACGTAGCATGTTCTCTGAATTCCCAGCTTTCATTTAAAAAGTAAATCTCTATCCCGTTTGCTTGAGAAAATACTCCTTTCCTTATAGCTCTGCAAGGAAAAGGGCTAGAGACCCATTTTTTTTAATGAAAGCAGAATTCAGGGAGCCTGCTACACCTTTTGTTACAATGATATATCAATATAATGATCTGCTAGTGCTGATGTACAAAAATAAATAAAAGTGTCCCTGGAGGTGGGGGAGGAAATGGGGATAGGGTTAGAGAAAATGACCACCACATGGGCCAGAAAATCCAAATTTACCTACCAACCCAGCATCCATCCAGGCTTTACTGAAATCTTTCCCAAAACTTTGGAGCAAAGCATGTTAGGAAACATGAGAGTAAAGCCTGCACCATAATGCTATGGTGAAGCAAGAAACAATCCTGAACTTGTGGCAGACAACACATGTGGAAGAGCCCTTTTTTCCATCTATTTGTGCTCTGAAACAGCAAAGGGAAGGAAACATGCTCTAAATCAGGTATGTCCAACAGGTAGATAGCGATCTACCAGTACCAGGGGTCAGAGGTAGATCACCAGCCCCACTTGGTCTCACTAATGGTCTCACTAATGAGCAAGAGCGAAGTTTTAAAGACTGCGCATCAGCCTGGATCAATACTTGACCTACATTTAACACAAATAACTCTGAATAAAAGTTAAAGAAAGTTATTGAGACAGTTAAAGAAAGTTATGACTCAATTAAAAATGTTCGCAGTTCTTTCTGGATCTTTGTCTCTGTTTTGTTTTTGCTTACCAGTAAATGACAGAAGGTGCATTATAAATGGGGGTGGGGGGGGGGTGGGCCGGTGGAACCCAACGTTAGTGGGTTAAAATCTAATTTGAAACTAATTTGAAACTTTATTTTCATGGTGGTAGATCACTACCTGTTCGAAGTTGGACATGCCTGCTCTAAATGATGAAAAGAGCTCTTTAAGGGGCTTTCCAGCACAAAAACTTGGCACCGATTAACAGATACATCACAAGTGTATCTATCAACTTTTCCAAGCTTGCCTCCTTTGGTCTTTTTTAGACACCTTTCTTACTCCTGAAGATAAAGAGTGAGGGGTAGTAATTTAAAGAGAAAATCAGCACCATACTCCCAACAATGAACATGCAGAAACAAATGTGCACCTGGATAGTAGCTTTAATGTACAACTGTACATTTTCTACTGTTTGGCCCTCGATAACCTCCTCACCTTTAAAGATAAATCAATCTGATTTTTAATATTTTGGATAATGTATGCTTCCACACCAGAATGATTACTTGTCTTCAACAGACACCTGAAACACAAGACAGAACAGGAAAGACTAAGTCACACATTGCGTAGTACCATTAGCTAGAACTGACATTTCTGTAGTATATAGTGATAACTATAATTTATGTTCACTAACTTGGCAGTAAAATGAATAGGTCTTATGATTTAGATTTTCTGGCAACATCACAATACAAGGCATACCTGAACAAAGTGTATTTTCCTTCTTCCTCAAACTTGTTTATATAGAGTTGTAAAAGCTTTAAGCTCTTCTTTCTCTACACAGAAAAACATGAAGCAAGTTGCATTTTGTATAAGAAACAACACTTACAATCACACAAAAGTCAGTTACGTACCAGAGGTTCAAAAGGACACAGTGTCATCAATTTGACCATATCCTACAATAAAAAATACAAATTATATATAATTTTTTTCACAAAATATCCATTTGTAAGTAAAACATCACTTTAAATGCTGTTGAAAAAAGGAACCAACTTCAACTCACAAAAATAAGGAAACAAAGCTGTAAAGCTGTAACTCCATCCTTAAGCCACACTACTGCACACATACATATTGGAAGGGCCAGGATAGTAAGCGATCTTGTAAGTGTACAAGCTGCAATAAAGGCATAGAAAAGTGGATTAAGGAGAGAGTGACAGAGTGAAAAACATTAACTCAAGACCGCCTTAAGATTGCAGTTAAGTGTTTAGAAAAAAATTACCCAGCAGGTTCTTCCAATGTAACCTGTATCGCTCTTGTGAGGATTTTGGAAGAACGAACATGGTCATACTACTAAAATTTCTACATTCCTGTTGGAACCCTCACAAAGGATTTTTCAGGAGCAGAATTCTTCAACTGCCCCCATTTGAATGTAAACCATTTCAACCTATGCTCAAATGTCACTTTATAAAGACATTGCAAAAGTGGGAAAAACAATATGATCATCTCCTAAATTATCCTCTTCTATTCCAAGTTTTAGTAAGCTTTCAAATATTCAAATACGTTATTAAAACCATGATAAGAAAGAACAGTATTCAAGAGGCCTCATTTCAGACACCACATTACAACCTACTTTGTGTTTCCCTATTTAGCGAACATACAAGGATTGAGGCTGGAATTTGTACGTCAAACACAGAAGGATGCCCTGGTTTTTGTTTCCCCAATCTTTCTGGTCTCCATCCAGATACAACTGTTTGAGACTTTTACCTCTCCAACTCCACCACCCTCAGCTACCTAAAAGTCTCCTGCTCCCTCAAACAATTCTACCTTCTTTCCCTTGATGCCCTTTATGCCTATGTACCACACTTCCTCTCATTTCCTACACATCTCTTTTCAAAGCCCACCATTTCTGTCGAGCTTTTAGCACAATTCCCTTCCCACCCCCTTCTCCCGCTCCTCCTTTCGTTGCCTCCCTTATGTCAACTTAAAATTGTAAGCTTCTTGGGAAGGGTGTACTCTGTAAAGGGCCATGTACATTGATGGCACTTGGTGGGATCTCATGATCAGTCAGCAGAAGATGCTGATGGTCTTTCCCCTCCCCTCCCCCCAGCAATCATTTCCGGCTCAGGGTAGGTGTTGCGGAACTAGGGCTGGATTGAATCTCAGTCCTCTGCTAAAACTCTGCAAAATCCCTGGTATACCTATGATACTTTAATTTCTATAGTAATTAGCTTCTATAGTTGAAACTTTTGGTTCTGTTTCCCAGGAGGCTTCAGGCTGCTGCTATGTGCTGTGTGTGTGGCCTTCAGGGTATCACTGTGTACGACTTTGCCTGACATGACTTTTGCTTTCTGGGAATGTTCATACTTAGCAGAAGTCAGAAGTCACTAACAAATTCTACACAGATAAGAGTATCAGAAACGAGCTTACTTGATTCTGTGAGTCACCCTAGTTTAACCCAGCTTTCCTTGACTTTCCTGACCCCAGAGACAGAAAAGGCTAACTTTGTTGTATACCTCGAATGCTCACCACAGACTTGACTGACAGGGTACTTGAGGTCTCAATTTAGTCTTGTTCCTGGTTGTTCTGATCAACATGATAAAAATCTGAACTATGTTCTTTTAAAACTCTCATCCATGGCTTTTTTGAAATGTTTTTGTTATCAGCCCGTTTAATGAATCACATTAACGTACTGAGTAAATACTTCCAGTCTAAATTCCTTTAAACACATTTTGGGAAATACCTGCACAGAGCAGAAACGGTGTGATACGCAATTAAAAGCTGAAGGATTTTGCATTACCTGAGGTATTGTAATAAAGCTTCTGAACTCCAAGTATTGAAGGAAAAGGCTATTATCTTCCAGCCTCAGTAGACAGCTCTCCAATAGATCCTACAAATTAAGTATCACATTAGTTTTAAAGACAAAGGGTGTGACCTCTGTCCCCCAGTTAGCAGGGCAGCCATTATGGGTGCTGAATTCCATATGTGCCCATCACAGCCCTTGTGTACACAACAGAGCTCCTAAAGTGAGCAAAGTGCAATTTTACTTTTGGCAGGACCTCCAGGACTGTTTGGTCAGACATACATTTAAACCTGAAGTCCTTTTTGCTTTCAGCTAGCGAAACACCTGTCACTTTGAACTGCAAAGTGTACAGAGTTTGTAAATGCAAGGACTTCTTTGGACTGTGGCACATCATTGCATGTGCCACACAAAAACCATACTGAACACTACATGGGATCCCTGGAGGTGAGGATCCTGTCATGTCCTGCAATTACTGTCCCCAAGCACCATGCCTTACTTTTCTCCAAAGGAGCAAATGGCAACCTTTCATCTATACAGGAGGAAAAAAAGTTACTCCGTGGTAACCTGAGCAACTGAACATCAAGCCTCCTATCTCTGATCAGCCCATCAGTGAAACCCCTGGATTAAAAATCAGAATATATACTAATTGGGGTGGCACTGGAAGACTCCATTCATCCCTAATCTGCAAGCCAGTGCAATTAAAATTACACAGTAAAGGATGCTTTCAGACACGTACCCATGATCACCTGGATTAAAATGGCCCCATAGTTTAGAGCAATGTGTCCCAAAACACCAAAACTTCATATGTGAAAACACAGGGCATAACCCAGCATACATTGCCTTCATTTATTTCAACAGTAATTAGTTCAGCTCCTCAGCAAGCATCATTCAGATCGACAGTGGCTGGTTGCTAGGCAACAGTGCTTAACAGATTGCAGTGACAACTATTTCAATTTGGTCCAGATTCAGGTGCACATATTTCTAAGGCTCTAGCTGGAGGTGGGCTTGTAACCCTAAATATACCTGCTGAATAGTAACCGCCACTGAAATCTACTCAACTTACCACTAAATAAATACATGTAGGAGGGACATGTTAGTTCTATATTGTCCTTGCTTTTTAAAGCAGCCAGATGGAGTTTACACATCCTGAAAGTGCCACTGGAGACCAGTTATAATCAGCCTATCCTGTGTTCTATAGGGTGCAACTATATCCCCCACACTGTTCAACTTCTATGTAAGGCCTTAGGACATTCCCTTCGTAGTTCTGGCCTTGGTTGGCATCAATATGCTGATGACACCCAGCTCTGTATCTCCTTATCCAAATCTCCCAGTGATGCAGTAAATGTCCTGAACTGCTGCCTGTCTGCTGTGGTTATATGGCTAAGAGTGGGAAAAAAACTGAAACTAGACCGGGACAAGACAGAGGTAATGCTGGCTGGGAAGCTGGAGATCTTGAAGGACATTGTGCTTCCCACCTCTGATGTGGTTCATTTACCCTTGCTGACTTGGTTAAGAGCCTAGGGATCATACGGGGTGCAACGTTAGTGCTGGAGAAGTAAGCTAATGCAGCTGCAAAGCATGCTTTCTTCCAACTCTGTTTAACCCAGAAGATTCCCCCCCACACACACTTTGATTTAGCTGATCCAGCCACCTGGATCTATGCCATGGTGACATCGAGACTAGACTATTGTAATGCACTGTACATAGGTCTGCCCTCAAAGTCAGGTCAAAGACTCCAGTTGGTGCAAAATGCTGCAGCTCAGCTATTATCAAGAGCTAGGCAGGTCATACATATTACTCCCATCCTACAGTCTCTCCGTTGGCTGCCCATCAGTTACCAAACTCATTACAAGCAATTGGCTATCACATACAAAACCTTTCCTGGCCTTGGAGTCTCATGTCGACAGGACCAGCTGTTCCCCTATGTTCCACCATGATATCTTTGCTCATGTGAGCAGGACCTTCTGTAAATGCCACCCTGCAAATGGGCAAGATCAAATGCCCATACAGTGTGTTCCACTGATAACAACTTCCTGGTGATCCCTGGCCCTAAGAATGTCCGACTGTCCTCGACCAGAGCCAGGGCCTTCTCAGTCCTGGCCCCAACCTGGTGGAACTCTCTGCTGAATGACACCAGGGCCCTGTGGGACCTTGTGCAATTTGTAACCATGTGTGCTTTTAAATGTATTATCTGTACTGTGCTGATGCTATATGTCTGTTGAATGTCTTTACATTTGTGCGTATGGGATAAGGGGGTTGCTGTGTTTGAATGGCTTGCTTTGCATCTCATGCCTCTGGATGAGCAAGGCTTGAACTGCTTGTGCCACAGAACACGAGCTTCCCTGCACCTTCCCAGTATGCCTCAGGACAAAGAAGACCATCGCCATTAAGCTCAGCTTGGAGACTTGGAAGAACAACAGGTTTCCCACCATTACAGACCTGTGGGATCCCTCGTAACCCTCTCTATCTGGTTTGGCATCACAAAGAAAACATCCTGTATTGCCTTCATGGACCAGGCACATCTCTGCAAGTCAAAAGTTGCCATGGAGATATGACTTTGACACCTTACCACATGGCTTCTCTTTGAAGTTAGGTTAGAATTTAAATATTGCCCCCTGCCCCTTAGGTAGAGCATCACGACCCGTCAGACCTATAGGCATCGAAAAGGGGACGGATTTCAGGTATAGATTGGCCTTAAGCCAAACCCCAAAACTAGGTTTTAAAAGAGGAAACACAGCCTTTGTTTCCTAGGCTAGGCTAGGTTAACCCATCCTCCCTCATACTTCTCACCTTGCAACTTAAGTCCACTGCAGGTGATTCTAAGTGTTCCCTGGATCGCGCGACCAGGAGAGCGCACACTTGTTTGGCTGGTCCATTCAGTGTGTTTTTAGAATCCCTAAAGTTTGTACTTATGTTCCTGATCCTCTGCTGAGAAAGAGTTACCTTCCACCTGGAATCAGATGAGTATTAATCTCAACCCTTCTGTGTTACCCTAGTGTTTGTTGAATTTATTATTTTTCATATTGAATTGCTTTCTATTTGCTATTGTAAACTAAAGGAATCTTGAAATGCATGTGTGATTGTATCTGTTTTTCGTATGCTTGAGAACTACTTAGTAAAGACAACATTTATTCATTAAACCTAGTGTGTTGTCCCTTCTTGGAAATAGGAGTGTTTATTTCTGATTAAAATCTCTGTATACATGTGATCAACCAAGAACTCAGGAATAAAGCCCCTGTTGTAGATAAAACAGTATTGGGCTTTCGGAACCATCCTTAGAGGAGTTCCGGTAACAAATTCCACAGAGCCTGTAAGGCAGAGATGTTCCACCAGGCTTTCGGTTGAGGGCAGCAATTGTTGGTTACACTGGCTGGCACCATTCCCCTTTCCCTCTCCTCCTTATATATATTTTGTTTAAGTTCCTTTGCCCTTCCACCAAATAGTCAGGTAGTCGGGGGGGGGGGAAGGGGTGCGGCGTCGAGCGAGGTGGATGCCTAGGCCCGGAGCTCTTCCTCAACCTACCTTCAGCAATTAGAAAATCGCCCTTCAAACTCGATATTGAAATCCAAAATAAAGAAAAACAGACAGGAGAAGGGAACACCCTCAACATCGCCATAAAAATCCAGCCGGTAAGCTCGTTCCTTTTCTATAATCTTAGACGAAGCTAATGCTGGGGCGGGAAACGCAGCAGCACAAAATGGCAGACGGAACAATTGAAGACGAGGAAATACTTACTCCTCTACCTAAAGTGGACCTTATTGAGATGGAAGATCGAATCCTTATAAAATTAAATGCTCTACTGAAACCAGTCCAGGACCAACTAGGAGAAATAACTAAAAGCATAGCAGATACTAAGAAAAAAGCGGAAAGTGCATTAGCACTGGCAGAGGCTGTGCAAGATGAAACACAAAATTTGCAAAAAGGAAAATGACTCTTTAAATAACAAAGTCCTAACTTTGGATATGGAACTTCGTAAAAATAATATTAAATTCAGCGGTTTTCCTGAACAACTCAATACAGAAGAAGAACTCAGTGACTTTATGGCAAGCTGGCTAGCTGATATTTTGCAATTAGGAGAAGACATGGTGCCTGTTATTGTTAAGGTATATCGTATAGGCTCCCCAAAAAATCCACATAGAAAAGGCCCAAGAGACATAGTAGTTTCTACGTTGGATTACAGAGTGCGAAAACAGATTTAACAGCAGCAAGGGAGAAAGGAGGATTTGATTAAAAAGGCCACAGAACTGAAACGTTTCCGGACCTTCCTCCTGAAGCCATTGGTAAAAGGCAAGATTTAAAGCAAATAACCTCACAACTACAGGAAGCCAAAATAAAGTATAAATGGATTGGAGAAGCAACCCTACCTCTTATCTACAAAGGAGAAAAACTACAAGCAACAAACTTAGAGTCAGGATTTAAACTGTTGAAAAAACTGGGGCTGAAAATTCCAGAAGACCTCAACAAATATCACTACAAAAGAAAACTGCAATTCAACTTTACTCTACCAAAAGAAAGCAAAATCCTAGTGCCTAATGCACGCCGATATACTAATCGTTAAGAGCGATCTGTAATTTAAATAGACAGTTGATTTCTTTCATAGTTTATAAAAATGTTTACTTGATAAAGTTTATAAGATTTAGCACTGTTAACTTTAAGTAAAATTCAAATTTGAAATTAAAGTATATAAAGTGGGTATAGGAAGGGGGTGGTGAATACTTAGATATGGGTGGGGGTGGGGGAGGATAAGTAGATAGTAAATCTAGTTAGTTAAGCTACTTTATAGAGACAGGAATTTTTTCCTGCCATCCTGCAACAGTTTGCAGGAGCCTTTAGGTATCATATAGGTTAAGTGTGCTGGTTTCAATTTAGAAATTAGTTTTTTTTTTCTTTTTCTTTTTTCTTTCTAGGAGATAGTTAGGTAAAGCTTATTAGGAAGAAAAGTTTAAGGAACGTTAGTTAATATATCCTGCAAGAGGGATAATTGCAACTTACTTGAAATCTGAATATACCCTCTCTGGAAGATATGTTTAATATGAATATTGCATATTGAAAATAATATGTTTAGAAACCAAACAATAACTGTTATGAATCACTAAATGTAAACGCTTAGTCCTATTTAGATAACCTTATTGAATGTTATCGTCCGAAAGGTTTTAAAGTGTTTTATAGTTTGTTAAAGTTATGAATGTTCTTGTTTTATATTAAAAATAATAAAATATATTTGAACAAAAATAGCCAGGTAGTCCAGAATGGGAACAGAAAACCACAAATCACCATCTGGGGTTCTGGTTTTATTTCTTACTAACTGTATTTGGATTTTAAAATTTGTATTCTGTTTTACGGCATTATGCCTTTCCTGTACATCACCCAGAGCCCAGCATAAGCTGGGATAGGGCGATTAATAAATAATAATAATAATAATGATAATAATAATAATAATAATAACAACAACAATAATACATTGTTTGTTGCAGACAGTTAATGCACTTTATGGAATGGGGTCAAGAGGCTCTCGTTGTAGCATTCTGTAAACTATGCAAAGCTGAATTATTCAAAAGGGCATTCTTATATAGGTATATAGCGCTATATTATAATGGAAAGCGTCAGAAAGATGTTTTAAAGAAGGGAAAGGGATTATGAACTACACCACTGTGTATCGTTCGTACAATCTGTTGCTGTATGTATTTTCCTACTATTTAATTTCTGCCTCATTTAACATGCCATGTTAATACTTAAGCTTTGTTTCAGCCTTGTCTCAGATTTCTAGGCAATCCCAATCCTATTACGTTGCTTACTGGATGTCCCATTCTACTGACCAAATTGACTTAAACTGTGTAATTCACTTTGAGAAAGACAGACTATGAATAACAAATTTAAAAAATGATTTTAAAAAGAAAACAAAACAAGTGACACTTACAAGTCCTTTTGATAATACAGACTCTTCTTTCCTACAAGAAATTAAGATGCTGTCAGTTTGTGTAAATCTAAAATTAATATTTGGTGGTCTTTTTGAAACCCAGATACATTCTTTATCACCAAGGATCATGTCTCATGATGCTTGCCCCATATCTCCATCTAAAATTGCTGCGTAACAAAAGCCTGTACGTCAGCTGACCATCCTTGTGGGCCTGATACTCACACAATTGTACTATATCTTACTGTAGTTTCTCACTCTGGTTTAAATGCAGTATTATGCAAGGTGACTCCAAACTCTGTCTGTAAACCATGTGAAGGGAGGATCAAGATGTGAGGCAGGGAAAGGAGGTCTCGTTGCAAAAGAAAATGGAACATGCACATGGAGGACTAAACCCTGCCACCTTTTTACCTCACTGCATTCCACGGACTTAAAAGTTTTGTCTCCCAGCCTGGCAAAAAACATTCAAAGCATGTCCAGAAGAAAGATAAGGGGCAGTGTTTAGTGTGCTCATGTTCTTTGTTTTCATTTAAAAACAGAAAACACTCTCCAACACACACACATACCACACAGACTTTATATGGGAATAAGAAAAACTAGGAATCCTTCAGCCACATCTAGTTTGACCTTTGAATTACAGGCTAAATGCAATCCCATATTCTTCTGGAATCTATTGATGTCTTGCTTTCAGCAGGGCCAGGTTTACACTGCCTCAAGTATCACATCGTATCCAAAAGCAAATGAGACACAATTAGGTCATGTAAGCAGAGCCAGTGCATATTGGGTAGCCTCACTTACACAAGCTACCTAATTTGCACTGGTTTGGATCCAAAGGGATCCTAGCATGAGTAGATGTACTTTTGTTTGTATAAGTGAGGCTACCCAATTTGCACTGAGTCCCGCTACCACTTACATGCCCACCAACTACATGCCCACCAGCTACAGTGTTGGCAGCTCGGTGTTTAGGGGTATGGGGTTGCAGGGTGCTGCATCAAGAAGGTGGTGGCAGGACCCCCTTCTTCAAGCAGAACAATCACCACATTTGTTAGGATCCAGCTCCAAATGCCCCAATTACGTTTTGCCATTAATCTTTTTAATTGTGTATTTCTGAAAATGTTACCTGCTCTGAGATCTTGGGAAGAAGTAGGGTAAAAATGGAAATAAATACAGAGTTAATAACCTTACCTTTCCAGCAGAACTTGAATGTGCACCATGTTGCACTGCAGAATGTACGAGGGGCTACAATAAAAGAGTCATGAACAGCTGTAACTTATGCCTCACACGATCTATTCCAAAGATAGTCCCAGTTTGTAATAAGTATTTTTGCCAACAAATGTTATGTGTATGATTATTTTTAACAGTTAACCCATAAACACTTGGTTTTTCAAATCTCCCTCTCCTGCCCCCAAACAAATAAATGAATGCAATACTGTCATGATCTGGGCTGTGCAAGTAAAGGCCTAGCAGGCCCAGGAAGCCTGACTAGCAGTGGGAGGAGGCCAGGCCTACATAAGAACATAAGAGATGCCAATGTTGGATCAGGCCAAAGGCCCATCCAGTCCAACACTCTGTGTCACACAGTGGCCAGAAATACCAGTGCCATCAGGAGGTCCACCACTCCCAGAAGTCCCTGAGAGGTTTTGGCGCCAATTTTAGCCAATCACAGAGAAAGGGGACTTATAATAAAAGAGCTGGTACAGAAGAAGAGCTGTTCTTTCTTCCAAGAGAGCAGGGCCAGAGGGAAGGCTGCTGCTGGGAGAGACCCTCACCCTGAGAGGAAGGGTGAGTAGACTTAGGCCCAACTAAGACAGTGAGCTAGGGACTGTGAGTCTAGTCGCGTCTGGTTTCTTTTCTCTTCACCCCCTTATTGCTATTGTTCTTGCACCTTGTTTGTTTCACATATTTGACTGACCTCCTATATAACCCTCTTATTTGTTGTTTACTATGCCTGGTCCTCACACCTATTATTCGGCCAAATAAGGGAGGTCTGAAGGTCTTGGGAGGGTGCTCTGGGCCTTCTCAAGGGAACCTAAAACCAGAGTGGTGGCAGCATTAGGTGACACCCCACCTGAGCTGTGACAAATACTCACTGGAAAACCACTGGAAAATAGTTCATTCCAAAGTCCTGAACAAAGACTATATAAGAAAGACATGCCAAAGAATCTGCTGACTGTTCTTGTTCTATTTCCACTAAGCCCTCATTATCCCAGATTTGATTTTTGCATCCATGTTGAGGGAATACTTTGGGAATCAATTCTCTAATATCCAGCAAAATGCCCTGGTAAACAAAAAAGAATGTTTAGCAGTTCACATAATGCAACACAACAAATAATATTGTTTTCCACACCAAAAGATACATCTTTCATACACCAAATGTTTTGTAAACTGCAAAGAACCTAGAGGAGGGTAAAATATAAATTTCACAGCAGTAACTGCCATTAAGGTGTGTGTGCTGGTGCCATGTACAGTTCTGTAATCCACAAAGAATGTAATATGATCCACATTATCAGATGCCACCAAAGAAGGAGCAAAGACAGAAAGGTTCTGCCAGACATTTTAATATTTCCTTGTTGTGACCCTAGTTTTCTGGCATCACAATCCTTAAAATAGAAATTATTCCATCAAAACTTGATTCTATAGGTCCTATTCTGATCTTCAACCCAGTCCCCCAAAATTAACATATTTTGAGCAGATGTGTACAGGACTATGAGCTGGAATACTGCAATATGCCCAACATTAGGTTACCTTTGAAGAGTGTTTGAAACTAACAACTGGCTCAGAATTCTGCTGTGAGGTTGTGACTGGTCATGAGCAAGCACTTTACTCCATTATACTGACTACCTGCAAGTTTCCAAGTTGGTTCAAAATGTTAGTTTAATCTAAAAAGCCTTAAATGGAATGGGACATGGATATCTGAAGGGAACACCTCCTACCATCTACTTGTGCCTTGAGATCTGCCAGAGAGGTCATGCTATGCATGCTCCCAGAGTGTTGTATCATGCCTGGTTTTTCTGCTGGCAAGAGCAGAAGGATGAGGCCCCTCTTAGCCACTGAAAAGGCTGTGCCAGGGGCTGTAGGATCTACATGGACAAAAAAGGATGATGGTGGCTGCAGTGAAAATGGGAATCAAGTTGAAGTGAACAAAGGAGCTGGTAGGGTATACCCAATGACTTTGGTCCATTAAATGCAGCTCACTTTCAGCATTTACAGTGCAATCCTACAAAGAATTATTCCAGTCTATCGATTTCATTGGGGTAGACTGGAGTAATTCTGCATAGAACTGCAGTCTTACAGACTTGCTCTTTACAGAGTAGCTTATAGTCTTTGAGGTAGAGAATCTAATAATTGTGTTAAAGCAGTGGTTTCCAAATCTGGGGCATGACTCCATTATAGGTAGGTCATGAGGCTCAAACCCCTGAGGTAGGAGACTCTAGGCCCTCCTTGTCCCAGCAGCAGGAAAAGAAGATGAGAGGGCAGAGTTGCTGCATTCCCTTTCCCTCTGTTGCCCTCTGTGCCCCCATCCATTTTCAGGGGGTTGGCTTGCTCCCATCTACCAGTGGTGTAGGAGGCAACTGCTGTGCCCTATGCCCATATTTACCTCCCAAGATCTGTATTGCTGGTGATGAGTCCCAAAAGACATAGTGTTGCTGTTAGGATAAAATGGGGGAGCACCCTGTGCTCCTTGGAGGAAGGGGGGGGGCGCTGAATATATAGTAAATAAACATACATAAATATTGATAAATTAGGACAGGAAGTCAAAGTATTAGAAAATTATTTCTACAACTGGGGGAAAACCCTCCCAACTCCTCACTTACTAATATATCAGCGGCAAACTGCCTTAAGGGATGCTTGATAGTCTCCTCAGGCAACTCTTCAAGCTCTGCCATTAGTAAGGGATATTTCAAGCTCTTCAGGCAACTGAAAACCAAAGTAGTCAAGCAGATCATAGAAATGTTCAAGAAAAACACCAAAAAGGCAGAATGCAAGATTAAATGGCCTTAGCAATATATTCAAAGGGTTTTTAAATTATTACACTACTAGAAATAATGCCCGTTGCGGAAATAAATACAACGGGATCTAGAAAGAGGCTCTTGGAGAGTGCTCTGGCTTTGGGCAAACAGTGTCAGTTTCCTATGGCGACCTCAGCAGGGTTTAATGACAGAGTTCACTGTTTTCTCCAGAGGGACTGATCTCTGCTACCTGAAGAGCATTTGTATGTTTGAGTTATCTGTAGCCCTCACCTGGAGAGTGGTAACCATTGTTACCCATTCTCCTCTCCCCTATGAGGAATGTTATGCAACTGAAAATTCCAACTGCCTTGCGGGGGGGGGGGGGTTTGAGGTGTGGAATGGACTGAAGTCCAATCAGCTTCCATATGCAAAAGACCAGGTTGTTGCAGCAGTTGTGGTGTGGGTGGGATCCGGGCTTTGCCTTCTGATTGGTGGCGATATATGCTGAGGAGCAGTGCCATCAGCCATACACTAAGGGAGTGCATTTTAGAATTAGAACTTTGGCAACCACTATTCAATTATATATAAGGAGAGATGGGACTGGTGGAAGGGAAGAAACACCTCAGAATCTAGAAAATGGCAGTGTAGCCAGGAACAGAAAATTCTGCTTCTTACTGTGATAACGTATCTAAAAAACCTCCTAAGACAAAAGCTACTTGCCTGCGCCCATGAGGCTACAAGATCTTTATACCCTACCTTTATTCCTTCAGGCTACAAATCCAGTTTCCTTATTTAAAAAAATCAGACTCCCTAAAGCAGACCAACTGACAGATTCCTGAAAATCTGCTTGTTACTTATGCCATGTTCCAATCAAAGATGAAATTCCACAAGCAAGACATGCATCTCCCTCACCATATATCTGGCAAGGGTTTGATAACTACAGCAGCTGAGGTCCACAAAAGCCAGGCATACGTATATTTTTTCAGTTCAAAACAACATGCTTAGTGGTAGTTCTGGGTACCAGGGGTGAACAACTGGAGAGCAGCAGGGTGAGAAGGAACTCCGCAACAGAAAATGAGTGGATAGAACAGAGAAGTGGCAGAGTGGGGGAAAGAGGTAAATATCACCTTCCAACTGTCACTTTTTTTGCCAAATTCTCCTTGTCCCACTACTTTGCAGCTGTTTGGCAGAGACCCTCTGGTGCTGATAAAAGTACTGTGTTGGCCTTAGTAGGCCTCACTCCATAGCCACTTTTGCTTGAAGTGGGATACTTACAAACTTAGCAATTCTTCCTTCAGATCTTTGCAGCCTCCATCTGAGGTCTCCATGTGCCTAACAACTTCATCCACAAAAGGATTAACAAAATCTGTTAGAGCATTGCAACAGCGGCAGAGGCCATGCATGTCTTCCTGTACTTGCTGTGCTGTGTAAGGTACTGGCAGAAGGGAGAGCTGGTTCAAGATGGTAGACAGTGACAACCCGATTGAATAGGCTTTATTCCTATGAAGTTTCAGAAGCACTAAGGCCAAAAAAACAAACAAATAACAAACATTATAAACCTACATTTTAACTGACTGGTTCTAATCATTATATATTTCAGGACTGTTGGACCAATAACAGAGGAGGCATTGGGTTACTGGCCTACTTCAACTGTTTCTGATGTTGGATTTTAGGGAGTTCTGCTTATAGTTAGTTTCTCTGAAGCTCAAACACTCCTATGCCCTTAACATTTGAAGTCGATATAACAGAAGTTAATGCCTCAGGGTGGAGCTACAGCATTATGTGTAGTTCAGTGATCTTCTTTCTGAGGACAGATTGCAGCTGTAGGCGCTGTGATTTTAGAACGCAATCTAGAGCAGGAGGAGAGAGAAGAGGAGTTTAATTCCTCCCCCTCCCCACATTTTCCTGCTG